GACCACTGACGTTGAAATTTAATTGACGTTGAAATGTCTCAGGGTGGGAAAATGCAACCCTGACGGGCTGCGAACACCTAAAGTGAGTTTGGGACCTGAGGCACTTTTTCCCCATTTTGGGGTATATGGATCCAAAGGTTTCGTCTCAGGGAAGATCGAGTGTAGTATCTGTTTTGAACGGGAAAAAAAAGGGCCGCAGATGAAACAGTTTTTCCTCGTTTGTATCTACTCTACAAGAGTGAGTTTGGAACCTACGACACTTTTTCCCCGTTTGTACCGATCAGAATAGATAGTACACTCAATCTTATGCACGAGACTAGCACAGTGGGTACACCCATGAACTGTTGAAATGCAGACCCGAAGTCAAATCCAGTTGAAAGAACATGATGAATAAGAATATTTCTGAATTGCTTGGGGCCAGTCAGTTCAATGAGGATATCTTTTTTTTTTGTTTTTTGTTTTTTTTTTTAAACAATCATTCCTGTTCATATTATCACAGAAAATTCTTTGAGGTCGGGGACCTCACAATTCCACCCGGAGTTATCCCGGAAGCATCAGCCGGTTTAGCTTATGTCTGATCTTGTTTACAACGCAACTCAACGAAAAGAGACACTTCCACAAGCAGTACCTTTGACCGCAATTAGAACAACGAATGAATCCTAATTAGGCCTCGACCCCCTATTCTACCCACCCAGAAAACCCAGGCTAACCTTACACCCTCTAACTATACTTAGACCTACCACGGTCCGGACCTCGGCCCAAAACGACGGAGAGGAACAGAGTTCCTACCTCTTCCCTGACACTCTTCGACCCTCCGCCCCATATATGGCCCACTGCGACCATCCACTGGAACCGAGTGTCCTGGTTCTGCAATACCCTCCTTTGCCCTGCCTACCCATTCCCAAATTCTAGCCACCTGCTGATTACCAGTTTCATCCCTGTGGAGATGGATGCCAAACGTTCACTACGAGCCCACGTGTTCCGGAACCAAGCGGTTCCTTCCCCGTTTCTCCCTTGGTCAGCCTTTCTCGACCAGTCCGCCCAAATGGCCTTAACTACCAATGCTCTGAACAAAGCCTCCGCCTGGCACTCGGGCATTTCCTCACCTTTGAATCTCAAACCATTTATGTCCAGCCAGATGACCGACCCAGAGCATTGAGGCTCTGGCAATTTGCGCTACATACCCCCACTCAGTGCTGCTACTTTGGTTCGGTGGGAGCCCTCCCAGGAGAATCCACCTTTTGTTCGTGAACGTCTCTTCGCCCGTTATCCACCGCCTGTACCTAGCCCACCAACCCCATCATTTCTGGGATTTAGGGCACTCCCACCAAAGATGGTTCATAGACTCTTGCGTTGACTGACATCTGTCACAGGTGGAGGAGACCTCCATTCCTCTCTCCCTTAACCATTGTGCAGTTGGGACCGACAGCTGTGACTAGAGCCACAACATTGAAGCCAACTTCTGAGATGGCAGTAATTTAAGTTGTGTCCAAAGTCTGCAGAGTTCCTTGTCAGAGGGAGGAGCAAGATCAGGAATCTCTCTTTCCCACCGCGCTGCAATTTTGGAACACAGTGGTTCCGACCCGCTGCTTCTTCTGAGCACCAGAGATGTAGACAATTTCTTCAGGCCCCAAATTGGCTCGCCTTCCCCCTTCCAGCCCATTTAGCCTGATCAATCCCTAGATGACAGAGAGGAGTCCCATTGCCTACTAGGAACGGGACGAGTGGCAGCCCCTCTTGTGCAAGTGGTTTCATCATTACTCTGATCTCCTTGAGGTCCAAGACGCCGTACTTCAATTGAATGTCATACCTCACCAACCGGGTCTGATTAGGGAGCTCCCTGGTGTACGTTTCCAGCCAACATTTACCTGTGTCGTCCGTTGCCCAGCTTTCCAATCTGCAGTACCAAACTGTCTCTCCGTATTCCCAAGCGTACCAGGTGCAAGGGGGGTCTAACCCCTCCGGACCCAGGAGGCGTTTCCACTCCTCAGGTATGGCTTCTAGAATGGCTTGAAACCATTCCTCCTGTTGTGGCAGCTGCCCCGAAATGGTCTTCAGTTCTGCCTGTGTTTTCCAGCACCCCCTATAGTTATCCCACAAGTCCCCTACCTTCGAAATACCTTTCTGAAGCCAACTTTGACCAAATGCGCCTGGTTCCCGGCCAAGAGAAAACCAGTTTCCATCACGACTTCTGATATGCACATTTTCAAAAAGCATCTGTCCTTGAACCTCTTCTTTCATGCTCGGACCAACATTCAGGGAAGGTCTGCACTTCCTCCAGGCCTGCAAAACATCATTCCAAAACTGTGATTTTGGATGTTTTCGCGCGTATGTGTCAGACATCAAGGCCACCCAGACATCCGAAGGCCTGGACAAGTTCCACTCTTTAGCTAGCAGCGCTTCGGCCATCAGAATCCAATCTACCTGCTCCTCAGCTGATCCCACACGAATCACCCACCTCGCTAGGAGAGTCGTATTTTGCGCTTCTGGGTCGATTAAGGACAGACCGCCTTCATCTCTCTGGGTGCAGATGGTCTCCCATGCCACCTTGGGGATAAACCCGTGGTCTGGGTCACTTCCTGGCTTCCGCACGAACCTTCTGGCCACTTTCTTCACAGAGGTGAGGGTACAAGGAGTAATCCTCCTTACTGCTGCCACATACCACAACAAAGCGAAGGCTGAAACCGTTACTGCCAGCGCCCTCCCAATAATAGACAAGTGTTGGGCTTTCCCCCAACTCTTAATCCTTTTGGTCACCTTCTCTTGTAAAACTATCCTCTCATAAGAAAAACAGTCTCTCAATGCCACCTGCACTCCCAGGAAACGTTCGGCCACATCTGCTTCCACCCGAGCCATCCCCCATTGTACCGCCATAGGACGGGACTTGGGGAGGAAGAATACAGATTTATTCCAGTTCACTGCCGCTTCGGACAGTTCTGCAAAATCCATCAGACATTGTTTCAGAGATTCTAGCGAGTGAACTTCATTCGCTGAAATAGCAAAAAGGTCATCAGTGAGGGCCTTGACTAGGCTCTCTACCCCCCCTGACAGGCACAGTCCCACAATCTCCGGATGCTTCCGAATGTTGCAGAGGAGCGGTTCCAAATGTAGTACAAACAGCAACGGGCCCAGCGGGCAGCCTTAGCCAAAAGATCTGCTGAGCTGAAATTCCTCTGAGATATCTCCATTGACACAGACCGCTGCAGATGAGAAGGTGTACAGGGCGATTACCCACAGGCATAATATCTCTCTAAAACCCAGCCAACGCAGGGTAGTCAGGACAAAGGTCCAATTTACCCTGTCATAGGCATTTTCCAGATCTAGCAATAAGACTGCAGTGTTACAGTTCTCCCTCTCAATCAATTCTAGGGCTTCTATAGCGGTCACCACATTCTCGAAGATCGAACGCCCACGTACAAAAGCGCCTTGGTCACGGTGGACAATTCCTGGCAGGTAGTTTGCCAACCTGATGGCTAAAGTTTGGCCAAGATCTTGTATACCACGTTGAGTAGGGAAATCGGCCTCCAGTTCCGAACCTCATTCCGCTCCCCCTTCTTGAAAAGCAGCGATATAATCCCTCTCGTCATTGACTTCCCCAGCCTGCCTCCAGTCCGAATAGCATTGTACATCTCCACCAGGTCACTTCTCAGGCCCTCTCCACAACTTTCAAAGAACTCCACCGGTAAACCATCATCCCCTGGCGCCTTTCCCCTGGCCATGCAGCGCAAAGTGGAGACCAACTCATCTTCTGTAACAGATCTGTCTAACCCGATTCTTGTTTCCTCCGAGACGCGGATTGTCAAGTTGTTCCACAGGGCCGACCCCTCCGCCATATTGTCCTCCTCGTTGTCGTACGACCGTCTAGTCGTCATAATGTCCTGAAAGTAGTCCATCGCGTAGCTGCACATCTCCTCATTGGTAGTTGCCACAGGCCTCCCCAACTGATGAGGGTGTTTCAACTCCTTCATTTGCACTGATCTGTTCTTGGGCAGCAATCTTCTAAAGGTCTCCTTTGTCACTCGATCCGAGGTAATGATGCCCTTAGTTTCAAGGATCTTAAGCCACCTTTCTTAAGCCACCTTTCTTGCCTCTGAAGATGCCACTTATCCCATTCCTGGAGCCTGACCTTCCGCTCTTCCGCCCATAAGAGGTCTTAGATAGGATGCCGTCCCATCCTTCGCTCTGCCTCCTCAACACTAGCTTTGAGAACTGCTTCCTCCTTATTACGCTGGAAAGCCGAAATTTGTGAGAAAGAGTCCAACTTCAGCGAAACCACTCTCAAACCTGCGTCAATCCACTCCGCTACCGACTTGCTGTGAGGTTTCATCTGCTGCCACTCCAGCCAGAAATTCGTGACCCACCGTAAAACTCCATCATCGTTCAAGAGATCGGTGTTCAGCCGGAAGTAACCAGGGCCTCTTTCTACAACCTCAGAGAGAGCACATGTCATCACCACCGCCTTGTGGTCCGAAAGAGGGTAATTATCCGTCTTCACCTGAATGACATTGCTTTTCAACCCCTCCGAGGCCTGAAAGAAGTCGATTCGACGGCTAACTCCTGCATGTTGGCGAGAACGGCCAAACCAAGTAAAGGCCTGCTCCGTAGGATACAGTTCCCGATAGGCATCATGCAAATCCCACTCTTCGATCCATCTCAGTAATTTTGCCTGGTCTGATGTCAAGCCCCCATCGTGGTCTGAGTCCAACCCTGGTTGGCATACCGCATTCCAATCACCAGCTATCACCAAGTGGTTGGCCCGGGGTAAAACAAATGACAACAACTCAAAAAAACGCAGTCTTTCACCAGTCTTATTCGGGGCATAATATGTTGTGAAGACCCAATCTTCCGCACCGATCGCCACGTTGACCCAGCACCATCGTCCCCACATATCACAATCGTAGTCCAAGAGTTCGGCGTCTATTCTGTTGTGAAACAGAATAGCCACCCCCCCTTTTGTTTCTCTTGCCGGGGGCCACAACTGTGGTCCGTCCCACCAATCCTTCAACTGAGCCAATTTGTTCTTTGATAACTTTGTCTCCTGAATCATGATGACGTCGATGCTCTTCCTATGAATCCAGCTCTTGAGTCTTGCTCCTTTCCGCCTGCCGCTCGTATCCCCCAATCCCTGAACGTTCCACGTAACTATCTGCAACCTACCCATGGATTAAAGTTGTGACAGTTGCAGATTGGATGCCTGCGGAGGACGGATTCGAGCTTCGGGCTGTGTCTGAACCCCCGTTCGACGCTCGTGGGGGCCATTATGCTGAGAGGCAGTCTAAAAAGGAGGCAGAGAGCAGATTGCTCGATCTCGGCATGATCGGATTCAAATCTGCCAAAAAGGAAGCCGAGATCCCCGGCTCAACGATTACCTCCGCCAGGAGGTCAATCGAGGGCTGAGTCTTGGCTTCCAGCGGGAAAGTATCTAAACCTACATTCCTCAAACCCTGCCACGCTTCCGTAGATAACCTGGCGTCAATAAAGACGGCCGCATATTTAACAGATTTTCCGTCCTCTAACTCCGATCTCATTATGGGTAAATAGAATTCCGGAAAAATCCTAAACTCGAAGCGATCAGCGAATAGATACTTGACTTTCTCCCGTATCGCAAATTGCAATGGAATCTCCGACAGCCCCATTGTTGGGAGGACAAGGTTATTGTTTCGGTCCAATAGCCCCACCACATGTATCGCTTGATCCTGTAAGGTACAAACGAGCGGCAGCAGAACTTGTTCTTCAAACTGGCATAATTCCCTGCCTCCTGTCTCGACACCCTCCGGAATTACTCCGGGGGACTCTTCCATGTCCGAGTGTGCCCGGGTCGAAGTCACCGGAGACTGTGGTCGTGATCTCTCTGAGCCCGCTCTTTCCTCCACCGGCACCACTTCCAGGTCCAAAGGAGAAGCTGAATCCTCCACCCTTACAGCATGTCCCACTCTCCCTCTATTACCTCCTACCGTTCTTCTGTCCTCGACACCGTGTGCGACATAATTAAGACCTTGACCTGAACCGTACATGTTGTAGAAGTACGGTTGACCAGCGGCTATGGCAGGGTTATAAGGGCGGAACCCCATCCCTTGCCAAGCCATTTGCCCACCGGGGAGTGCATAAGCTTGATATCCACCAGCGTAGCCTTGGAGATGCATCCCCCCAGACAGATCCTGCTGCTGAAAAGTCCCTGCTCCTGGGCCGAGTATTCTTGCCACGTCACTTATCGCTCCTCCTCTGGAAGTTCCTTGGATGTTAAGTCCTCTTCCTCCCTGCGGCGTTGAAGACCGGCTGCTTCGAGCGAGACTTTGACCGCCGGACAGAAATCTGGCATCTTTAAGTCTACCGGCGCCTCTAGTTGACGTCGCCCCCTGGGGCCGGTCCTCGGCTGCTGGGACAGTTTCCCTTGCCGCTGAACGGATGTGTCGATCGTCTGACACTCTCTGGTTGTGAAAAGATTGGACGTCCCGCTGTCTTGCGCCAAAGTTGCTTACAGTTTCATCTTCGCCAGCACGTGGGCAATCTTCCTCCGCTGTATGAAACCACCACCTACACCGGGTACACCATGGAGTGTGCTTGCATACAAACTTGATCAGCAACACCTCGCTGCCTAGCCGAATTGGAAGCTCCGCTTCAAAGTTTTCTTCCGCCTCCCTTACCAGCTCGAACTTTAAGTTCATGAGCTTTGGTCTTGTCTTATCTTGTTCCGGAGGTAGGCTGTTAATGACATGCCCCATGGACGTCTCCACCATGCTCTCCACGTGAAACATCGCTTCAATGAGGATATCTCACGGCCGTCGCCCTTTTTTTTATATATAAAAGTAATCTATATTCTTCTCTCAATCTTCTTTTGTATATATTCTATCTCATCCTCTCGCTACTCTATATGTATAGCACGGGGGAACACCAACCAAACCTGGAAGTCTCCCTAGCCCATGGGGTATGTTTGCACCACAGCAGTGGTGCGAGAGCAAGGCTTGTATCAGCCCCTCATCAGGATGATGCAGGGTGATCAGGCATTGCAGACGGGGAAACCGGCAATGCTAGTGCCGAGCATCTTTGGCCTCTGCCAATTTTTTTCCAAAAAAAATATAAAAAAGGCCAAGAAATGTCTTTCCCGTTTTTTTTCCCGACCCGAAAAGACCAATATCCAAACCCGCCTGTCAAGTGTTGAAAATGAAGGCAAGGCTTGTATCAGCCCCTCATCAGGATGATGCAGGGTGACCAGGCATTGCCGACGGGGGAAACCGGCGATGCTAGTGCCGAGCATCTTTGGCCTCCGCCCTTTTTTTGTCCAAAAAAAAAAAAAACAAAAAGGCCAAGAAATGTATTTCCCGTTTTTTTTCCCGACCCGAAAAGACCAATATCCAAACCCGCCTGTCAAGTGTTGAAAATGAAGCAGTTTCGACAGTAGTGTGGCTAGGCCCCTAGACTCGCTAGAGCACCAGGGCACAGATGGTTTCGAGCTCCTGATCGGGCTTTCACGGGCTTGGTAGTGCTCTACACGATTGGCTTGCAGAACCGTTGTCCCCGCAAGGGAACCTTTCTTTTTTTTTTTTTTTTTTTTTTTTCATTTTTTTTTATGTGGCCCGATGGACCACGGATCAAATATTAAACTGATCAGAACAGATACTACACTTGATCTTAGCCAAAAGGCCGAGAAAGGTATTCAAGGGAACCTTTCAGCGTCCACCACTTCTTGGCTTTCGGCAATAGAAGGCACCGTCATTAAACATGTATTTTGGGCAAAAGTCAGTCTAGATGCAGCGATACATCGTACGGTCGTTAAAGGTTCAATGCGGCCAACGTTCAGTCCAGATGCAGCGAGAATGACGGCTCACTCGTTCCGGGGACGATGGTTAACCCGGGATGGTGTTCGAGAAGGATCTGAAGTGAAGGTAATTCCTGTTAGATGAAATTGGCTGGATTCGAACCGAAGTCTGCATTTCAACAGTTTGTAGGTTTACCGACTGAGCTAGGCCGATACATGAAAGCCTTGGCGTCAAGCCAACCGTTCTCTGCTTCGCTCATCTTGTCCTCCCTCCCGCCCTCCCTCCAGGGCTGTTCCTGTACCCCCATTGCCGCCTGCTTCCCCCCTAGAGAACAGCACCAGCGCGGTAAAGCAACTTGAAACCGTCGATGTATCTTCTACGGTATTCTCTGAAGATGTTATCCTTCCGTGACACTTCGACGCAACCGTCTGACGTGTCGAAGCTGTGATCCCCGACAGCTGGAGTGTCTTCGCGAAGCGCCTGCATTTTCACCTGCCGCACGTAAAAGCTCTCTCTCTCTCTCTCCCTTTTTCCCTTTTCGTTCGAAAAACAAGCGCAGTGTCCTTGAGATATCATCGTCGAACTGACCGGCCTCCGCTAATTCAGAACTATGTCATCATCGTCATTGAAACTCACCTCTGTATTTCAACAGCTCATGACATTGTGTGTATCAACTGAGCGAAGCTCGTTGGTGAAGTTGAAGTTTGAATCGTCAGACTTGTCTTGTGCTCTCCGCTTTCGATTTTCGATTTTCGATGATTTTCGATTTTCGATTTTCGATTTTGAAAGCAACTGGGAGTGGAGGCGAAGTTCGCTGAGCTTTGTTTTCGAAGGAGCTCTGCTCAAGAAGTCAGTGGATGGAATACAAAGGCGGGGGAGAGAAGGAGAAGGGTTTGCGCGATTGACGAAAACGATCACAGTGCTAAGTAGATGAAGCGAAGGCGAGGAGGACAGTGCCGAAGCGAGGGAGGGGAAGGGTAGAGAGCAAAAGCACGAGAGCAGAGCGTAGGACAAGCCGGGTGGACAGAGAGAGAACCTAGAGAAGGGATAAGCAAAAACTTGTAGAGCAGTAGAAGGGATGGACGGTCGTGTGCGACCCACGAGTTTGTCCAGTACTCGTATAGCGATCGACCTGGGCACTTCGTCGTGCGCCGCTGCAGTGTGGCGGGATGGCACAGTACACGTCATACCCAACGAGTTTGGCAGACGCTCGACTCCCTCTTTCGTTGCTTTCACCGACAAGAAACGTTTGTTGGGCGAGCAAGCTCAGAAGCTCGTTCAGCGGAGACCTGAAAATGTGCTGTTCGATGTGAAGAGACTGATCGGGCGGGATTACGAAGAGATAAATCAGCGCACAGGGGGGACATGCTGGCCATTCAAAATCACAGGAGACAGAGACAGGTCGACAGAGATAAGAGTTGAAGTGAGCAGCGAGTTCCTGCGCTCTCTTCTGAACGAGGAGAGAAGAAGCATCCACTCTGATGTCGCTCGCAGCAGCGAAGCTGTCCGCTCAGAGCGCGAAAGGACTGTTTCCGGCGACTCATCCCCCGCTTCGGCGCCGACCCGCGGAACGAAGCGGATTGACCACCCGCCGAACCTCCCGCCTCGTGCTCCCGCGCTCCCCGCCAATCTCCCGGATAGTTCCGCCGGCGACCTTCCGATTCCGCATCCTTGTCGAACAAGGCCTGCCGAGGTAGAGAGCACCCTCTTCGCCCCGGAGGAGATCCTCGCGATGCTGTTGGCAAAGATGAAGAGCCTTGGTGAAGCTTTCCTCCAAGGCAGCGAGCTCAGCGTCGCGGCAATTACCGTGCCATCTTGTTACAACGACAGGCAACGGAGGGCAACGAAGCGGGCGGCGGAGATTGCAGGCTTCACGGACGTGGTGCTTGCCGACGAAGCCACGGTAGCCGCTCTATCGTATGCGCATCACATGGGCATGCTCTCGGGGGAACGAGGGGATCCGCTTCAAGCAAATGTAGGCAGAGGGGCGTCGAAGATTATCGTGTTTGCGCTAGGTGGAGGAAGCTTTGACGTTGCCCTTGTGACCATCGCCGACGGGAGACTCAGAGTGCAAGCAGTGGCTGGCAATCCCAGTCTGGGCGGGAAGGACTTCGATGACAAGGTAATCGACCTTATCATGAGAGATTGTGTGAGGAAGTCTGGAGATGTTCGAGAGGTGAGCAGAGGTGCGTTGCGCAGGTTAAGGGTCGCAAGCGAGAAGGCGAAACGGGATCTCACTCTGCTCAACGACGCAACCATCGAAGTCGAATCGGCTTTTCAGGACCAGGAAGACATCAAAATGCGTTTGGAGAGGGGACAGTTCGAGAGAGTCTGTGAGAGGTTGTTTGAAGAATGCATGCAATCTCTATTTGGAGTCCTCGGTGAAACTCGCACTAGGAAGGAGGACGTGGACGATGTGGTACTCGTCGGGGGCTCCACGCGCATTCCCAAGATCGTCGAGATGCTGCGCGACTTCTTCGGCAGGGAACCAGTGCCTCTGTTCCACCAAGACGAGGCAGTCGTTCGCGGTGCAGCACTTCTCACGGCCTTTGCAGGCCAGGTCTTTCACGTCAATCCGCTGGAAATCGCTTTCGGTAGTTCGGAGGGGAAGTCCGGTGAAGTACGTTTCCCTATGAGACCAGGTCGGATGAGGATATCCATTCCTCGGCGCCGATTTTTCTATCGATGTCGACCGACGGAGTGGTGCACGGAGGTATGGGAGAAGAGGTGTATCTCAAGGAACCTGGTGCGTATGGGTGTATTGGTCGCCGAGCTGGAGGATGAACTTCTGTCTGAGACGTTCGAGCGCGAGGGCGCGTGCATGGATGTGCATCTATGGATGAACAAGAGCGGAGTGCTCAGCCTACCGGCAGCGCAACGACGGTTCCAGGGTGGGGTCATGTCCTTTTACAAAGTGCGGCAATATACCGTCGAGGAGGTGCGTTTATGGAAGAACCGCGCTCGACAGCTGATTGCGTTCGAACGCAAGTGTGCACAGGTTCGGCAAGCGAGGCACCGTTGGCAGAAATACGGCGTGGAAGTGGCTCGGCAGGAGGCTGAGATCCCCGCTTGGCTGCGGAGCGTCATCTGGTCGCTCAGGCTTGAGGTCGACCAGTTGCTTCAAGGGGCAGAGGAGGAGGAGAGAGGATGGAGCGCTGCGGTGTTCGAGTCGCAATTCACGGAGTTCTGTCGCTTGTGCGAGTTGGTGTTTGGGGAGATGTGGGCTCGTTCGCTTTCAAGCAGGAAGTTTTTGGTTGTCGATCGCTGGAGGTCGGAGGACATCGAGCTATGTCTGCGGAATCTGGCAAGCCAAGCGGATGGCGGAAGGAACAGAACAGGCAGCAGTAACGCTGAGACGAGAGCGGGTGCTGATCTGTGCGATCTCGTCGTCCGCTTGCCAATCAACAGGCTTCCCGCCAGAAGGACTGAGGTGGATCAGAAGCTCCACAACATGGACATAGCCGCGGATTACAGGATGTCGCCGCAGTTTCTTAGAGATCAAGGCGTTTCCTATGTTATCGTCGGAACAGAGGGCGGGAACCCGGAATGGAACAGAATCGTTGGACTCCAGGTGGCCATGGCTGTACACGCCGGTCTCCTCGTCATACTGCGAATCGAAGGACGCCGGCAGGCGGAGCAGAAAATACGTCGGAAGCGGGAGAAGGACCAGGAAAACGTGCGGGGGGAGCAGATTGAGAACCAGGACGACCTCTGGGACCAGGAGGAGGAGGGTGGGACCCTTTGGGACCAGGGCCAGGAGATACGTCATTGCCAAGAACAGCTCGCCGCTGTTATACGGGTTGTGGGCAGCGATTGGAGAAACATAAGTCTGGCTTATATCTCCCCCCGGTTCGACATGTGGACAGCTCCATCTCTCGAGACGGCTGCTATGATGGAGGCACCTGATACTTCTCTGCTACTCGGGGATGTGGTTGGGACCGTTGAGCATTTGCGGCGGGTGATCCAGACTTCGATCAGTCCTGACGCTGCTTCGGCGACGCCCATCCTCTTTGGGGGAAACGTCACCGAGAGCATCTGGAATGCCCTCACGAAACATAAGGAAATAGACGGGTTTCTTCTTGAGCACGCGCTCCGAGATCCCGATTTCCTCGGCAGAATCAAGGCGCCAAGATGGAAGTCCAGAGGGAAGTTCTTGCTGTGCGTAGAAATGGACAAAGATCAGGATTTGAATCATTCGCGCGCCAACACGTTAATGTCGTGCTCGAAAGCCCTCGAACAGGAGGGACTGTGCGTAATCGTGGCGGCCGCACTCTCAGACTGCTCCTACAATCATACGGGCGACGGGAACAGCGGCAGAGGAAGGCGAATCCTTCGTCAACCAGACTTGAAAAAACACGGAGGAGCGGGAGCGGGAGCCGCAGCGTGGAGTGCCCAGCTCATCCCCGTGTTAGGAGGTCCCCAAGACGTGGGAACCAATCCGATGACAATCGACGATCAGCTGTCAAAGCTCGCCGAAGAGTTGGTGGGAACAAATGGGAGGTGGGAGAAGGTTGTCCTCGAGTACAGGCACCCTCCCGAGGAGAACACTTCTCACACTACTCATTTGAAGGCCGTGGACAGCGCTCTCAACAGAATACGGCGTTGGCTCTTTATGCATATCAATCCAGAGACGGCAGAGGCGGTTTACATCATCTTTTCCTTAGACGATAATTACCAAGCGCCCCTCACGTTGCCGGACATCGTGAAGTTGCCGAACCTAGACGGGGTGAGCTTGCATCTTCTATAACGACGGGCCTGTGGTACGGGGGCGAGTAACGGCCACGTTTCATTACTCGCCAAATAGGAGAATGGCAATCCTCGAGAAGGGAAAAAAAAGGGTAGTCGCATCTCCCATGGATACGTCTGAAGTTGAAGCAGTTGATGGGTGGAACGAGGCCCTCCCAACTGCCGCTCTGGGCAACTCGGGCCCAGGTCCCGGTCCCACTTATCCCGATTATTCATCTCTGGCCGATGATCATCGTAATGGTCACAAGTTAAACCACAAGTACTTGGCCCATATGTCGGGCGCGGGGCGTTGTCGTTAACACCCTGCAAGTTTGGGGGGCTCAGGGTACCGGACCTGAAAGGCTGACGCCGCCAGCCAAAACAATTTGTTTTTGCTTCGCTGGGGGTTTGGTGCGAAAGGGCGCGCAGGGCATATTCAGGCTCGGCATCGATAGCTGGGCCAAGTACTTGTGGTTTAAGAATTGGGGTAAGTGGGACTTGTGGGGCTCCTCTCCACTCTCTCTGCGCATGTGGAAGTGGTGGGAGTACCACTGGAAGCAATTTGGGGGCCCGGAGGAAGTTACATGGGACCTGGAATGGGCCCTAACGGGCAAACTTCCAGCTTCACTTGAATCCGGTAAGGGCAGGGCTAGACACCGGGCGGTGGTGGTTTGGTGGATATGGAAGGAGCGGAATTTGGTGCTTTTTCAGCGTAAGTATTACTCTGATCTTGCTCTTAAGTCCGGAAGGAAGGCGACTGTTCGTCACATGATAACAGTTGATTGGAGAAAGAAAGTGCTGTCCAGAGAAGGCTTGGCGAGAGACCAGGCAAGACTGTGGTTCCTCACGTCCTGGGCCAAAAAGAACAAGCTTGCAGCCCTGTCTCTGCAAGGGAAATTGGTCGTGTCTAAGTGGTTACGAATGGAGTAATTAGAAGGGGATATATTCGGTAATTTTGTTTTGCTTGGTTGGGTGGGGTTAGGGGTTTTACATTCAGAAGCGGTAGTAGCCGTAGACTCAGTAACTACAAGTAGGAATAGAATGGATGAGAGTGAGACGGGGCTGTAAGGCAGAAACTACCTGTCACTCGGTAGTTCGCGAGGCCTTCCCATTGGGTGGTCAGAAGAGTCTCGTTTTAGAGCTCAGAGAATCCACAGCAGAGAGTATGTGAGGGGTCGTCCAGTTTGTGATTTGCATTTGTCTGCCAGGTTGGTCTGGCTTGATCGTGTCCTCGCTTACCGGGTTGAATTGTGAGGTCCCCGGCCTCTAACACTTGATTTTGTTATGAATTGGTGAATTTTTTTCAAAAAAAAAAAAAAAAAAAAAAAAACAAGTGGGACTTGGCGGTGTTGCTTCGTTCATCTGAGACTCTGAGAGCATACTCAAACGCGGTCTCATCTCCATCCACCTGACTGAAAATAGGGCCACCAGTGTCTGCACCTGGCCATAATTCCGGTGTTGTGCTTTTTTCCCTTGGCCCTATTTTCTTTGGTGGGCCACCTGGCAGTGGGGATAGTAGATACTGCCCGTAGTCCTTTTTCTTTTCTTATGTTTTCCCCCTTTTTTTCGTTATGGATTGTCTGGCTCTGTAGGCGTTGGTGGCTACTTTTTCCCAAAAGATGAGGCTTCAGGACGGAGGTCGGTTTGGGACCACCTGCGCCTAGTTTGGCTCTATGGCCCTGTTCCAAGGTCTGGACTTCGGCGGCCCGGGATTTCTTGTGTGGGGGTGTGAGGGTAGATCAACAACCTCGGCTGAACCTCTGGGGACCCGGGATTTCTTGTGTGGGGGTGCGAGGGTAGATCAACAACCTCGGCTGAACCTCTGGGGACCCTCTCGGGATCCCCTCTCGAGAACCTTGGTGATGGGTAAGAAAAATGCACGTAGAGGACATCATTAATCTCAAGAGGAAAGTTTTTTTTTTTTTTTTTTTTTTTTTTAATTTTAACGCGGCCTCTTTTTTCTTTTTTTAAACACACCCCCTGCAGTGTTAGTGGTGCTGGTAAGAGCAGACACCACTAGCACCCGGGGAGAGGCTCCATCTATTGGTGGGGAGCTTCACCTGCTGGAAAACGGGTCCAGCGTCCCATATACAAAATTGATGAGCATGAACAGAAAGAATGAGAAACCTGCCAGCATTGATTACTCTGGCTTCCAGAGGATTACCTGTGCAGGTTTGTTTGAGAACAGGGAGGAGACCTCTTCATACAAAAATAGATGCCAGATATCCACTGCTGAATAACCTAGTTCCTCCCTGTTTCTTAGGAAGCTTGAAGAAACTGTGTTCCAGAAGCAGCGTTAACTGCCTCAGAACTGGATTGTTGTAGAATACTTTGATTCCCCACTCCACCTCCACAAAATATGGTCAACCCTTTCTCCCTCGGGGGGCACCGAGAGGCAGGGCCGYCTTGAGGTGARACTGYGTGATCCAAGCAACAGCGATGCAACAGAGATGGAACACAAAATCGGGAAAGGGGAGGGGGACCAGATAGGATRACCAGACGGGTGAGATCTTGGCAGGGTCGGGTCAAACAAGGGACTCGACRAGAGCCAGTGGGTGAGGGGGGAAGGGATYGGGGAAGTCCRTYGGGGGACGTWGCGGGAAGGAGGGTTCTATCATCGTCCARTCCATAAAMARCAGTCRRTAATCCCGTACTACTACCCTCTCCTGTTGCTGGGCATCTTGCTTTCTACCACTCCATTCCACTCTGGCTATCCATCCTCCTTCTGCCCCCCCTAACCAGTTGGTGCAGAAGGAGGTGATGGCTCGTTCTATGTCCCTCGTCATTTGTAGCAGGTCCAGCTTAATCTTCACTTCCTGCCACCTGCTCATTATTTCCATTTGGACTTGTTGTCGGATTTGGTCAGTSGTTTCTGCYCCCTCCAYCCTCACCCCCTCMAGTGCCATTAGGCAGCGCTGCCACCAAAGTCCCCATAGTACTGCCCTTCGTCCCAAATTATACATATTTTCCACGAAGGGTGATTCTCTCTGTGCCTGTGGCCAATGGCCCACTAGAATGGCTCTCCAGGACCATGGCCATGGCGGGTCTGGTATCATCTTTCTCCATATCCGATCCCACCATCGCCACGTAAGTTGCACCGTAGGGCACTCAGTCTGCATAAAAATGTGCTCTATAGTTTCGGCTTTTTTTTGAACGGGGAAGGCACTCAGACACCGTGGACACCAGGGTACCACCTGACCTTTCTGTTCCAGATTCGTGTGATCTATGAGCCAGTCCATAGTGGGTAAACAACGATGCGCAATCTGTCACTGCAGAGAGGAGATCTTAGCTGGTTTGGTCTTACCTCCCTGAAACCACCGAATCGGTGTAAGCAAGTTCCTGTCTACTTTAAGATGCTTGGCCCATCGATCCATTATTACATCCCTTAACGGACGTTTGGGCCTCAACAACCCATATGTGGACTTGACCGAGAGCTTATGTAGGTAGGTGTAATGGGGGGGGGTTGGTTCTGCGTGTGGCTGGAGCCCACCTCCACTCCAGTGGGTCAAAAGCCAGGTGTTGGATGCCGGTGTCTGGCGGAAAGGCGACCGACTCCTCTCCTTTTGCCAGCACCCTGACCCTAAAAACAACAGTTTTATCCCTCCATTCGAGGGGGTCATGGCTCCCCTGCAATGTCCCTGTCTTGCGGACTGTGTACCATTCAATTAATACATCTTGGGGCCTAATCATGTGGATCATACCTATGCGTCCCCCCTCGCGTCTGCCGGCTGCCCATTCATCCTCCCTGAAAACCGGACCTTTTCTGAGGGTTGTATACCACGCTAAGGGAATAGTATCCAATATTTCTTCCAGATTTACCTCAGTAACATGACAATATTTTAACCTGCTCCGCAACTCTTCCCCTGCCCTCCATCTTCTCAAGACCGGGTCCCATAAGTCCCCTATCCGGGTTACCCCATTCTTTACCCATCCTTTCCAGGGAGATGGCGTGCTGCACTTTATCTGCCCGTGCCTGTCGACCAGCCAGCGGTTTTCGAAGAGGGGCTGGCGGTATATTTCTTCCCATCTTTCGGGGGGCTGCTTATTAGGGAGGGGGTGTTTGCGCCAGGCCTTGAGTAGGGAGGGTCAAAAATGGTCCATAATATCTTCCCCTTGGCCTCCCTCCATCTGCCATTTTCGAGGTGTGGTCCAGTACCTGTCCTCTAGCCAGGTCAAGGGATGTATTTCAGGGGGGGCTATCGGGGCCAATCTGGCCGGGTGTTCAAGCGCAATAACTTTCCACAGACTATTTATCGTGAGAACAAGTATTTTGAGCCACTGGAGCCGCATAACATTAACTTGCGTAGCCGGATCTATGATCCCCAGGCCCCCTGCGACTCTAGGCTGAATGATGGAGTCCCATGCGACCCTGCTGATTACATTTGTCCGCTCATCGTCCCCCCTCCATAGGTAGGCTGCTACTTTTGACTTCAACCTCTGTAGTGCTTGCTTGCTTTAGGTCACAGCAGTGATTTGTACCATGTTGCTGCAAGCACTACATTATTTATTATCAGTGCCCTACCGAAGAGAGAAGTGTTCTTGTTCCACCATTTGACCAATTTGGGCAGGGTCGGGGCAGTAATCCATTCGTCACTTGTCTGGGGACGGCCTATCGCCATCATGGATACTCCTAGGACTCTAAGTGGGGCTTCCAAAGGGAACCATGAGATACGGGGGTGTTCTGGTGGTTGGCCTCCTACTACTAAGTTGGTAGTGGATCCACTATCCTTGCGTTTTATTTCCCCAGTTGACTTTCATGTCTGAGACTTGGGAAAATCTCTCCATCACGAGTTGAATCTCTTCCATATTAGGCGTGGTAGCTTCTACCATGATTGTGAGATCATCTGCAAAAAGGGAGCAGATCGGAACCGCCTCTTCTCGTATATAGGCTATTTTTATTCTAGAGATGTCTTTATTCGCCCGTAAGTTGGCCGCAAGGGTCTCCGTGATAACTAGGAAAAGGAAGGGGGCAATAGGGTCCCCCTAACGGACCGATCTTTC